TTGTTCGGTTAAATATAGCATGAACGATCCGTCGTTCTGGTACATATATGACCTCACTTTTGTAGTCCCTTTCGTAGCTTGACCATGTAATTTTCCCTATAGTTTCCTCTCCATTTGACCTTTCTTGTCTCATATGATTCCTGTACATTGGTTATCCTTGCCCTTGCCATTTCGAGTCTGGCAAGCGGTCAGCAATGGCAGTTATACAGTTTGCAAGGGCGAACGGCAGACAATGTATATCAAGGTAGCGAATTGATGAAATGATATGCGTTGCGTGACATAGCATTGTGGTATAACAGTAGTACTGAGGAGAGCAGTACTTGTGAAGCGACCATGTTACAAAACATATCAGTGAACGTATAAAAAAAACGGCTATGTAGAAGCCGAGTGTGTAGTCAGCGCACACTTTCTTTTTTAACATCTGTAAATTTTATGTTAGTTTTTCGCCAATCACTTCATCATTCCATGCCTCAGTCACATTCGTCTTCACTTTCAATCACGCAAGGTAGCACCAGCAACAACGGCTATCATAACAATCAAATACAAATAATAATCGACTAGTTATCATTGATATAGTATATATATCGTTGGCATATTAATTTTTATATAGCTAATTTTTTTTCTGTTGTTGTCCTATTTTGTTTACTGAAGTATATTCATATTGAGTTTCTTTTTCATAATTTGTTGCTTAGATTATTTGTTCTGTGTTTTGTGGTTTTGTTTTACTACCCCAAACTCATGCAGGAGCACTCCGAACGTAGTAGTGGAATGTGAGTGTGAGAGAAGAAGAAACACCCTCACCCACACCCACATCCTCAAGAAATCTAATGAAACATTTCAAATGAAGAAAAATAACGAAAAAACAATGTTTTGTTTTGACAAATCATTTTTTAATTCATTTTTTATTAAAAATGTTTTGAAAATTAAACATTAAATTTTATCAAAAATGTTTCTTCTTCAAACTTCAAATGATCAGAAAAACAAAAATTCGTTAATTAATTAAGGAAAAATCTTTTTAACATTTCTTTTGTTTAACGAAATTGAATCGAATTCGATTTTTATTTTAATTTAATTCAAATTATAAATATTTTTTTCTCGTTTCTTCTATAAAATTCTACAAAAAACAACAAACGATGAAGAATTTAACGTTTATTTATTAGATTTTTTATTTTAAGAAAGTTTCTTTTCGTTTTTTCAAAGTCAAAATTTCATTCACTAAATTATTTCAAACTTTTGAATTCGATTGTTCGAATAATCAGCAACATAAAGATTTTCTTCATTATCAAACGATAAACCTATGGGTAAATTCAATTGATTTGACTGACTGCCTTTACCATTTCCACCAGCAACAATTTCACCTTCTTTATCTCCTTCACGCCAACGCATTACTCGATCATTCCGACAATCTGCCACATAGATTTGACCCAAATGATCAACAATGATTCCTTGAGGATAAGACAATTGATTGAGATTTTTTCCTTTACCATTTTCTCCACCCACAATTCTTCCTTGATTTGCATCTTTTCTCCATTTCATTACACGATGATTCTCTCTATCTGATATATAAACAGATTGATCTTCATCAACAAAGATACAAGTAGGATAACTGAGTTGATTGAGTTGATTTCCTTTTCCATTTCCACCTGCCACTACAACTCCTTCATTATTATATTCTCCCATTTTCCATCGTCTCACTTCATTCTTCTTCCAATTAGAGACATAAAGAAATCCATTTTTATCCATTGCCAAGCCATAACAGTCAGTATTCTCAACAAGAATTTGTTGAGTTTGATTCAATCATTGAATCACGCGTTTGTTCTGATAATCAGCAATGATGATCGAATGATTTTGTTGATCAACAATTACATCTTTCGGATCATTCAATTGATCCACTCGATTTCCTTCCCCATTTCCACCTGCAACGATTTGTCCTTGCTTTGCATTATATTTCCATTCAACTATACGATTATTCCCAGAATCAGCAATGAAAATATTTTTGTTTTTATCAATGAAGATTCCAACAGGCGTAAGGAGTTGATTTAACTTTTGTCCTTGTCCTTGTCTATTTCCACCAGCCACAGTGATGGCATTTTGTTTCCATTTATTGAATTTTGATTCTAGAAAATGATGAAAACAAAAGATTTTATTAAAAAGAAGAAAACTTGTTGTTCATCGAAGAAAAAAGAAAAGATTAATTTTGAATGAAACTTTGATTTTGTTTTTTTATAAAACTTGAGCTCTGAATCAAATGTTCATAAAAGTCTTTACTGAATAGACAAATTTTATTTGATCTTTATGTTGAATTTTGTAGGATTTTACTGGAAAAAACAAATCATTCGAAGTTTTTTATTTAGAAAATAAACGAAAAAATCTTTTGTTGATTTATTTTTATTAAATAATAATTTGAGAAAGAGAAATGTTTTACAAAATTTGTCAATAAAAAAATACAAGAATAAATTTAATAATGAACACACGACAATAATTTGAATTGAAAGATTTATATAAAATGAAATTAATCACTGAATATTTGTAATATTTCAATGAAAATAATTTTTTATTGTTTTAAAAAAATGAAATAGTGAAAGACGACTAATAAAACAAATAATTCAACTGAAATCGAATAAACTAATCGAAATAAAACAAGATGAAAGTAAAGAATCAAACAATATGATAAAGATTCTATTTATTTGAATAATAAGATAGATTAATTTTCAACATAAACAAAAAAATCAAATATCACATTTTATTTTCGAATAATTTTTTCAATAAATATAACAAAAAAAAATCAAATGATCAATTATTATTGGGTTCATCACAAAATTCCGTTTTTTTCTACTTTAAAAGAATAAAAAATCTCTTTTTCATTCTAAATAATAAAAGATTTTGACTTTTCTTAGAATAATTAACAAAATTTCAAAATCATTCGATTTTGTTTTTATCAATCAAACATTTTTTCAAAATTTGAACAAGTTTTTCTTTAGTATAATTTTATTTCAAATTCTATCATTCTTTTTTTTTATATACATATAAATTAAATTTTCTATTTTTATTAATACTATTCTTATTGATTTGATTAATCAATAAATAAATCAATAATATTCTCAATTGTTTTATCGTCTTCCTTATCACTTTTCTTCATATTATACTTTTTCAACATAATTTTGTAGAAAATAAGAATTATTCTTTTAGAAATTATTTTGTAAAAGCTTACTTATCGATGAAATAATTGAAATTTCATTAATGAACGGTTGTGAATCTTGTTGAATAGAAATATTTGATGGATAATTTAATTCTTGTGTAATTTCCATCAATTGATTTCTTAAATAATTTAAATTAATTTCATTAAATTCATTTTCGGCATGAATATGTTTTATTTGTTCAGATAAATTATTAAATTTTTTTTCAGTATCATAAAGGAATGTTCGTAAAGATTCAATAACAATTTTTCTACAATCTTCTGCTTTTTTTTGAATTTTTTGAATTGAATTTATTTCCCATTGATTAATTTGCTTTATTAATGAATGATTTTGTGGATTTTGTTTTTGTTCATTAATTCTTTGTTTAAATTCATCATAATTATTAATAATATGATTTAATTCATTATTTAATATTTGTTTATGTTCTGCTAAATCCGTAAAACAAAATCTTTTTGAACATCCTTCACAAGAATATGTTATTTTGTCTTTATTACATGTAAAACATTGTGTCTTGTTACTTGCCATTGCCATGTCTTTGAATATAAATTTATAAATGAAACGAATAATCTCTTTATTTACCTTTATAAATATAAACTTAATAGCTCAACGACAATAAAAGCATTGTTTGGTAGTAAAAGAAATCGAAAAAGAATTTTATTGTAACAAAATCTCACTAATGAAATTTCAGGTTAAGAAGAGAAGAAAAAAACACGTTTTATTTTTGATCAAATAGATTTTTTGTGTTCCATAACGAAACAACATTGAAAAATGAAAAGTAAGATTTTAGAAAGTTGGAAATAATTTCAACTAAAAATAACATTTTTAATAATTTAGTTTTGTTCGTTAATGTAATTGAAAATCTTAAATGAATTGATTTTTGTTTTAAAATATCAATACTTGTTTAATTAATGTCTTATAGGTAAAAATATTATTTAATACTGAATCAATAGTTTGTTTTTAATTGAAATAAGAATTAAAACTCAATTTGATTTAGTCAAATAGAAATTCTATAATTTTTCAATGAATTTTGTCACATATGAAAATTGTTTTTTGTTTCTCAGACCTAGTTTAATAAAAACAACGAATAAACATTATATTCTTTCAGATATAATCAATACTCTTCTCGATAAAGTTATCAATGATAAATTAATTAGATAAGAAAGTAAATAATAATTTATCCCTTAGTTCTCATTCTATCTAAAAGAAATTACTGAAATTTTATTGTTTTTCTTAAATTCTCAAAATATAAGTATGAGAATTCAATTGAATAAATTTCAAATAATTTTATAATAATTTTTATCTCTTTTCTTTAATATTATTCAAATTATTTTTGTTATTACATAAAAATTGTCAAATCAATTCAATTTAATGATATTTTATTTTTAAACAATAACATTAAATAATCGTCATTCATACAAATTCGTCTCTTACATATTTTTATTCGAATTATTATCAATTTGTACAATTCTATAAAATAATAAATAACATTTATCTATTCATAATTTATTATTATCATTTTTAATAAAAATAAAAAAGAAACTACAATTTCATAATAGTTTAATTTTAATTTAACAATAATTAAATTAATTCATATAAAATATTGATCTCAACGATAACTTATATAAAAGCTATATTTTTATACTTTCAAACAAAATACATTTTCCCACATTTCAATGCATTCTAGATAAATTCATCTGAAAACATTCAAAAAACCAGATTTTATCATAAGATATAATCATTTTCATTAAATGTTCATCAACTTCAACTAATTTCTATCTGATAAGAAATATCTTTTTATTATTCACAAAAATATTTCAAATTATTTATTTGATCATTTTTTTAATTATTCTAATGAAATGTTTTTCTTAAGAAATTCTACTTTTAATTGTCAATATGGATTGAGAAGTAATAAAAACATCTTCAAATTTTTTTTATTTTCATCAAATTTCAATGAAAAAAACAAGAAGAAAATTAATTTTAAAAGAAAATATTAAAATAGAAAATATTTCAGGAAAATCTTTTTATTCAAAGGTCAAAACATAGAAAATCTGGGATTTTTTATTTTAAATTGAAACGAAGAAAATGTTTGCTTAAAAAAGTTCAATTAAATCTCATAGAGAAATAATCAAAAATATTTATTTAAATTTCTTTGAATAATAGAATAAATCTCATTAGAATTTTTATTAAATAAAATCAGACGAATAAGTTTTCCTTTCATCAAAAATCTTTAAAATTAAAGATCTAATTTGAATTCTGTACTATTTCAGAATTTTCACTGACGTCTGATTCTCTCTCAATTTCCTTTGCAATTTGTTTTTCTGTTTTCCTCTAAATGATAATGGCATTGATTCCATTTTGAAATGTCAAATAAAACTTATTATTGATTTCATTTTGACAGAACATTTTTTGATTGAATTTTTATTCAAAATCAAATAAAATCTAACAAAATAAAATTGTAAAATGATAAAATTTGTTAATTTATTAAATGAAAATCTTTTCAATATTTGTTTTGTTTTAGTAAATTCATCACAATTTAATGTTCACTATCAAATTTTATCTGAACCGAAAAACAAACTAGATGGTATTCGCAAGAAAACTCGCGGGGGACTACCTAAATGCTTCTGCTATTCGCATCGCATTAAAAACATTTGATTATTTTCAAACAATAAAGATATTCAAATAGAATTTTCTCAAAAACAAAATCTTCTTTTTACATAGTTTTTCTTTGATTCAAGTCAAATTACAAATTATTTTCTTCCTTTGCCGTTCTTCTGTAACATTCAACAAAATTAACAAAAGATAAAGAATTTCGCATTTATTCTAGTCTTTTTAATTCAAATTATCAAACTAAATTCAATTTTCAAGAAAAGAAGCCAAAAACATTTTCCTTTGGTTTTTCTCTTATCGAACAATTTCTTTCTCTTCAAAATTTCTTGAATTTTTTGTTATAAAGAAATTCCTTTCTTTTTTTAAAATTAAAATTTCATTCACAAAATTATTTCAAATTTTTGAATTCGATGATTCCAACTATCAGCAGCATAAAGATTTCCTTCATCATCAAAAGATAAACCACGGGGATAATTCAATTGATTTGATTGATTTCCTCCACCATTTCCACCAACAACAATGTCACCTTCTTCTTTTCCTTCACACCAACGCATTACTCGATGATTCACACCATCTGCCACATAAATTTGACCCAAATCATCAACAATTACTCCTGCAGGATAAGACAATTGATTGAGATTTCTTCCTTCACCATTTCCTCTAGTCACAACTTTTCCCTCTTTTGCATCTTTTCTCCATTTCATCACACGATGATTACCAGTATCTGATACATAAACAGACTGATCTTCATTAACAAAGATAAAAGTAGGATAACTGAGTTGATTGAGTTGATCTCCTTTTCCATTTCCACCTGCCACTATAATTCCTTCGTTGTTATATTCTCCCATTTTCCATCGTCTCACTTCATTCTTCTCAGCATCAGAAACATAAAGAAATCCATATCTATCCATTGTCAAGCCATAACAAGTAATATTGTGAATGAGAATTTGTTGCTTTTGATTCATCCATTGAATCACTCGTCTATTCCCTAAATCAGCAATGATGATCGAATGATTTTGTTGATCAACAATCACATCTGTCGGTCCATTCAATTGATTCATTCGATTTCCTTGGCCATTTCCATCTGCAATGATTTGTCCTTCTTTTGCATTATATTTCCATTCAACAATACGATGATTCTCACGATCAGCAATGAAAATATTTTTGTTTTTATCAATAAACATTCCTATAGGGTGATTAAGCTGATTTGATTGTTGTCCTTCTCCATTTCCACCGGCCACAGTGATCCCATTTTGTTTCCATTCTAGAAAATGATGAAAACAGAACATTTTCATGAAAAGAAGAAAAAGAAGAAAATTTGTTTTTGATCCAAGAATAAAGAAAAATAAATAGTTAAAGACGGTTAATAAAAGAAATTTAAACAAATCGAAATGGAATAGAAGAAAGATTTCTAAAACAATCACATAAATCTCAATGAATGAAAATGAAAACTATTCTTCGATAAATAATTTTTTAAAAGTTTACTTTTCGGTGAAATAATTGAAATTTCATTAATAAATGATTGTGAATTTTCTTTAATAGAAATATTTGATGAATTATTTAATTCTTCTGTAATTT